TCCTAAAAAGTAGTGAGTTCATGAAGCCTCAAATGAGAGGCTCATACATGAAATGGCTTACCTGGCCGGGGTACCATTGAGTCAGGTAGCACTGATCTTGCTCCACGTACTGTACTTGTCCATTTTTTTCTCCTACTATCTGAAAAAAATTAAGACTTTGTATGGTCCAGATTGCAGTGGACTTAGTTCTGGTGGACGTTACTATGATAAATAGATGATGCACAATTGGACCCGCACAGAGCAGGTTTTGAAGAACAGTTTTGGATTTCTATGAACTATGTAGTTCAGCACTAAGAACGACTTTACTTCTTCCTAGCGTCAATCCTGGATCGTCACAGGTTCCGCTATTCATGTATGTATGTTCTCCACCCTCGTTCGTTCTAGCCTTGGCTCTTGTACTCTCTGATGAGCCAATACTTCAGTTTTGTTGAGGTCTCCTTGATTATATGCTGCCACCTCTTCTTCAGAACTTTTCATGGTCGCTTTCTTTGGCCCTGAATTCAAATACCTCCCTCAACACATGACTCTCCGGCTTTCTTCGTACCTTCGCACACGCTCCTTTCCCATTCTCAGCTAAGCAGGTGCTTCTCGTATGACAAAACTGACGTCCTGATTTCTAACTTCGTCTAATAGTCTCTGATATACCCTTCCTAGGTTCAACAATCCAGAGGAGTGAAAATGTCTGTCATGCCTTTCACATATAATATGAGTTCAAGACAAATTCATGCTTTATTCCGGTCTTGACGTCTACTGCTTTTGCTAAGACGCGAGTGTTGGGTGTGACCCTTTTGGACCTGTGGTAAATTTCATCGATCAGGGAGGCCTTCTATAATGGAACCATCCGTTCTCCCATTGTTCGCTGGAAAACTGGTCACGGGTGCTTGAAAGCCTTCCCAAATCGAAAGGTTATGTAGCAGGCTGCACCCTTCTCTCAATACTTCCCCTTCACTTGCCTAGCTATGAGGAGAACATCTGTTGTAAATTTCCTGACATTAGGCATGAGAATGAGATGGAGTCTGAATTCTTTAATTTTAACCATTTAATCGCTCATGCGGTTTCATCCTTTGCGCAGCCTACCTGACCGTACGATAGTTGAAACACTCAGCCGCGTTCCCCTTCTACTATATTCAAAGATTGGAGCGATAGCACTGTTCTTCACGCATCTGCGATTATTCCCTCAACAATCATAGTGTCAGAACCGTGTGACCAACCTGATCCCCTGTTCCCCTAGCGCCTTCAATGCTTCAATTGGTATTTAGTTGCCTTCCCAACCTTTAACAACCCTGTCGCTCGTCGGACCTCACTTCTGTCTGGAGAGGTAAGCTCCATATGATGGTTGTTCTTACGATGTAATTTTTCTTTTGAGAGTTCGTCGAAGTATTCTTTCCACCCGGTCTAACTTCACCGGACGTTCTCAGTATTGCACCGTCACTGACCTTTACAGCCCTCACCACTGCAATGGTTGAGAAGGCCAACATTAAGGCAAACTTCCCATCTCCTTGACAATCAAGCTTCTCGTACAAAGTGTCAGTTTCCGTATTTTTTCGCCACTGCAGCATTTGCGAGCCTCCTGCGAATTCTGTAGACAGCTTGGTTTTCTGGAGCTCTCGTCTCTAGCCAGCAGTTGAAAGCAGCTTTCTCCTACCCCACGGCTCACTGAGTTTCATCGTCTCAAATCCATCTAATCTCAACCATCGCAACCCTGCTTGTCTGCTCTTAATCCACCTTGGGTCTACCTCTACATTACCCTCGCGAACTGTAAATGGGTAAGATGACTTTCTGAGCGTTGTTACAGGCTTTCTGATTCAGTCCTTCAGGGCTTGGAGGACAGCTTCCAGTATCCCCGTTTGAGGTCAGAATCTACCACCGGATACTTCAGTCCGTTCTTGTCAAGATTTCGTGAGTTGCACAAGGGCTGTCTTCTGAGTGAGGCATCTGCTACGCAGCCAGATTTTCGGCAGGCAGTGTCTAGATTCCTTCAGTCTTGAGAGAACGGTTTCTCAAGAGTACACGGCCGACTTCCATTTGTTTTCCACCAGATGTAGATTGCCTTTTGGAGGGTTATTTCCTTGATCACTTTCACAGAGTGCAGAGTGTAGACTCCCCACAGAAATGCCTGACCATAGCTGCATTTGAATGGGTCTACCGTTGCTAACTGATAGTCATATCCGAATAGTGCTTCCAAAAATAGAACGCCCGCAGCTTATCTTGCCATGGAGAAGAGACAGCGCACTCAACATGATAAGAACCATCTCCAGGGAAGAAAGTGGTCAAAACGCCGGGAATTTCCAACAAGGAGGACTAAAGAAAATGAATGAGGAGTAATGAACTACTTACCTTATCCATCTGAACGAATCCAGCAGGTCGATCTTTGAACATAAACATGCTGATGAGTCCAATCTGGAAAGTTGGTTGTTAATTTAAAAATGCTCTTGGAATAGATATAACCGAGATGTACCAGCAGTGATGGCGCACAGTGAGATCCGGGATACAGCTGGCCAAAAATCATCTCTGGCTTAACCCAGAAGAAAATCCACTTTATAACAATCTGGAAAAAAGTCACATCACCTGGGAGAACTTTGTGTAATGCTTAAATGGTTGAATGGGGAAGTGCGACGAACCTGTAAGCAAAGGTAGATGAAAATACAAGTCATGAACAGCATTTGAGGAATGAATACGGTATAGATGTCGATTTTGGACTTGAAAAATCTGTAAAGGGACATTCTGACTTGGTTGGGACTTCATACTGCTTCATACTTAGAACAAACATTCCCACCAACTTTTTCTACCCCGTTTTGGAACGGCTCTTTCAGCCCACATGTTGGTAGTTTTACTCATTACTCTACGGTGGTCATTAACTTTATTACAAATAGAAACTACCTGTAGTTGTAGAAGCTCAGTACAACGCCAAACGTCATTTGAGCTATTCCAGCGATCACAGATAGCTTCATTTTCATCGAATTCAAGAAGTTTAACTTGTTTTCAGCGACGTTCCAAATGGGATCAACACCATATGGATATGGCCCATCAGCATGTTGGTAACTGTACCCAGGATCCATCTGAAATTATTGTCATACGTTGATTTATATGAGCCTAGAAGGATAAGTAGAAAAGGTTCAAAGCACTGATCAATAGCTATCATAAAGCTTTTACTTGTTGAATTTTTTTAGGGGTTTTCTTTTTGAGTTTCCCCCTCCTCTACTCTTGTCCTCAATTGATTTTCCTTCGGCCAGACCCAATCTTCTTGAACTTATTTTGAGACTGACATTACTCATGTCAGATAGTTGTAGGCGGTATTTCCAACTCAGCTGGACCGCGCGTCTCGTTGGGTAGAAAGAGAAAAGCGTAAATCATCGTAGAATCTGATTCCACGAAGCCATTGGAAATTAAGCTGGGTATTCAATGAATCAGAGAGCTGGGAATTTCTGGAGCATTCAAATTGCTCTTAACACCACTTGATTTCACCGTTATTTCCTTTTCTAGTCTACCGTTGGAACGAGTCAGGCCTCAGTGTTGTTGCTGTCTTCGAAGCTTTCAAAGCGGTCGATACTTCTCAGTATTTTTTGGTAATGGGATCGGAGCAGCCTTCGCTGCCTAATGTAGATTAACGGATTACAGTCGGGTCACATCACATGTAGGGTTTTCCTATCTCATCATTGAAATTGACAGAGAGTGTATTCCTACACTCGTGTTCTGCTAAGGCGTGTTCAGAATATCAAAAGAGTACTGACTGATGGCTGATACCGATAGCTCTTGACATTTGCTAGGATAGAAAGTTTCTGACGCCTTCAATCATTGGCAAGTTCATCAAGGAATGGCCAGACGTCTTATTACATGAGGAACTTGTCTTGCTCGAGTTTTCATACTACCTCCACCATTATTGGAGTTTTTCAATTCTGTACATATGTACATTTAGACCAGTTGAATTGTCGTGAAACGAATTATATGAAATAATATATGAGCTGACCTCAATTAAAAGTTCCTTGTTGGCCGCCCCGCTTTCGTTGATCCAACCAGATAGTTCTTGTTGACTGAAAGAACAGCATTGAGCTTTCAGTAAAGGCGGATACCCTTTCCCACACTTGCCTATATGGATTTAGCCAAGTACTTCCGAAGATGTTGAACGATTTCGCGAATGCGTCGTTATAAATTATGCCTGCGTGAATCGAAAACAAGCCCATCAGCAGAATGATATAACGTCCACCAAAGAACATTCCAAAAATCTGAAAAAANNNAAAAAAAAGAAATTTTTTTGGGCGTCAGGAGGGAAACAGTGAAAGGTTACCTCATCCTTGATGTTACGACTGATAAGGTTCTTCTCTCGAAGAACGAAATAGAGGCCACAAAGGAACATGAGCAGGCCGTGCCCCAGATCTCCGAACATGCATGCGAAGATGAACGGGAACGAAATGATCGTGTACGGAGCTGCAAATGGAAAGATCGTCGTATTGGTCTCGAATATCAGCATTGCACTTGCTCTTTTTCCTCGAAAATGAGAGGATGGGAAACAAAAAGCTGGACATTGACCATTCCCATGTTGGAGTTTTGATGTAATTGGCAGCGTAAGTAGGTGAACTTGGTATGAGAGCTCGACCTCAAAGTAGTACGTTCAACTTCCAATGTAAGCCTCTGCCATGAAAGGGGTGAAGAACTTTGATCGCATCAATTTTTTTTTTGCTTTGGCATGTAACATTCACGAATGATTAGATCTCTGATCAAGTATCGCCGCATTCTGGATTGGTACAGGCTAGCCTGTGACTACTGAGAAGCTGCTCGGTACATCGGGTAGTGCTTTGACGGTTGTATATAGAAAATTAGGCTCTCAAGAAGTAAATGAATTACTTGCTTCCGAACAATCTCTATGGGAANTTTTTTTTGTTTTGGCATGTAACATTCACGAATGATTAGATCTCTGATCAAGTATCGCCGCATTCCGGATTGGTACAGGACTAGCCTGTGACCACTGAGAAGCTGCTAGGTACATCGGGTAGTGCTTTGACGGCTGTATATAGAAAATTAGGCTCTCAAGTAGTAAATGAATTACTTGCTTCCGAACAATCCCTATGGGAAGTAGCAGGAAGTCGATCCAGTGATTGGCGCTGGTCTGTCAGTATTTCTCCCGAGTTGCTGAGCCGCGCATAAATAAACACAACTAAGCAGTGAGGTAAGGATCATTTCACTACTTCCATCCGATTATCCGATCATTGGGGGAATTCACGATTCTCTTGTTGCCTCTCTCGACACAAACCCAGCCCATTTCTCTAATTCAAAGTTATCTCCAGTGAAAGACAGGAAGCTGTTGGACAAAAAAGCGAGAATAAACCCATACCAGGATTCAACTCCTGATAGGTGGCAATTCCGTAAGAGTCCACGATTCCTTGGAATACTTCAGTGAATTTGTTCGTTCTGTTATAAGTGGGTGGTTCATCATGAGTTTCTAGAACGTTTAGTACTGGTTGAACTGTAGAGCCAGATATTTGCTGAAATGGACTGCCATAAAAATACTCATAGAAAGAGGTTAACAACTTCACCACTCACCGCTCCGCGGTCAAGAGCTGCCTTCACTTCGTCCATGTGAACCAAAGGCACCCAGCATTCAGCCACAAAGAATTTGCCGATGCCATCAAAAGTGAAGAGGTTTAGGTGGTGATACACGGTTTTTTGCATTCTAACCTGCAACATTTNTTTCTGGTGGACTGACGACTTTCATAGGTGTTCACCTGTTTCCAGTAAAATTAAGGAGAGAGAAAGTCGATGATCACATTCCAGAGATCTCTTCAGACCCAGAGCTATCAGATATCAAATTTTTCAAAAGCTAGAAAGTGATTCACACCGATTTTGAGGTTCCAGGCTCCTATGGCCTACTTTGGAATTGATAACAATTGAACGGCAGTGCTCTACAAAAACAAAAGCTCTCCGTGAAATAAATAGATCAACCTTGTTCTCTTTTTTTTTCATTCAGAATCTTTTCCACAAACCTACAGAACAACGCTTGCTATCTTTAAGGGAGTACCTGTCTGAGCCAATTATTGTGATTATTGGCAGCAGCCTGTAGGACCCGATAGCGATGTTCCCGGGTTTGACCTAGCACAGTTTTAAGATCCTGTAGGCGAGCTTTCACGTCAATACGAGCCGACTGTCGATCCTGAAGCAGCGACAACTTGAATTGACAGCTTACGAGAAAAGAGAATCGTTACCTTAAACGTCTTTGGGCAGTTCTTCATGAGCTTCGCCTTGAATCCGTCACACACCTTCTCAACGATACTGCGAAGCCGGTCTCCCTTATAGAAGACAATGAAAACTGCTTTATGTACTTTCAAGTTCTGAAAAAGTGAATTCAGAGACCCTTTGAAATTGGAAGGTAGACTATGAGTTGTATTTCTTTCAGGCTCACATTCTCATCTTCCAAGTCCTCTTCAATATTCGAGCTTCTGAGATAGGCAGTATGATGACTGGCACGCCAAAGAACCCGCTCAAAAACCAGCAGTCTTTCGCGACGAATAACTCCAACTACATAACTGAAATCACTTCATTCAATAACAACATTAGCAGATATATCATCTTTATTTAATATTTAGATAAATTTTTCATCGACTTCTTTACTTGGGAACGGTAAGTCTGGCGCAAGCAAAGCAAGAAATTCCTGTCATAGGCGGAATTTGGTATAACCAAGTTTCGATGAGATCGCTGATAAGAAGCCCTTCACTTTGTTAACTGATACCAGTCTAGTCACCAGAACAAACAAAAGACGTTGGTTTGTTCACCGAGCTCAATGTATGGACCCATTTGATAAAACTTCAATTCAAAAAGAAGATCGGATCTGTGGTAGGTTCCAAACGAACGGATCGATATCAAGTCTGCTCTTCTGTCAACTTTTTCTAACAAAATCTATAAAAGGATGGAGAGTGAAGTCTTCCGCGATCAATCAATCCCGTTCTTTGAATGCATCCGCTTTCGACTTCCGATCCGAGTCGTAGTGGTCTTTTGCATGTGTATATGACCTGTGTAATGATTCGATGATTGACGGTGGCTGGCCAATGTACATGGCAAGCTTTTTATCTTTCAGACAAGTCTGACATGAAACACACGAATTTATAGGGCTTGAAAGTCTTGTTGGCTTGCGTGGGTATCGATCCATCGGCATTCCAATCGCTCTTTTTAAGGATGATAGCAACACGTGAAACTTCCTCTGTTACATGAAATCAGATTTTCTCGAATCGAAAACCTTCTGCGCTTCATCAATGTATGATGACGTATGATCCAGGGTTTGTTCAGGCAGCAACAATGTCGTATGTCCTACCAACGCCCATCCCTGTTCTCATCTAAAGCTTCTCCACTCATCGCAACGAACACGCAGGGTAACAAACATGTAAAAGCAGTTTGTGCAGCTGTCTGTTTGTGCTGGCTGTAAGAAAAGCAACGTACCCACGTAGAACGGGGTTCGACTTAAATAGGCACCCCGCTAAGGAAAGCGGCCTGCCGTCCCGACTCCAATTAATCACAAGCAGTTTAAAAATCTCATGTTAAGGCATAAAAAAGGATTGCGGATCCAAGAGGAAAAAGAGAAAGTAGCAAAGGAGGATGAGTAAACAAGCATCCAGAGTGATGCCGTTAAGCTTCAAGGATCGAACGAAAGACGAGTTGTGGTAGATCGAGCTGTATATGTTAAATAAAAGTG